ATTATAAGAGCCATTTTGGTATTTTAAAAAAAGAATAGAATGACTGCATCTCAAATCTTTCCACATTTTATCACTGATCATTTTTTTTCTTTGATTTCCTGTGACAGACCAACAAAGTTAGAAATAATTATTTAAAAAAATGTGTAATACATGGTTTCTAAATATAAAGCTAATGAAGATCTGAAAGGTGTGTTTTAATGTGTTTGTGTTTTGGTGTAGATTTCTACCAGCATTTTATATGTCCAGTTTTAATAATAGTAAGATATTAATAATAATATCGTATTACTATTTTTCTTTCTTTTTTTTGCCATGTACAACTTACTCTTTTTAAATGTAGTTTAGATGTTTAATATTTAATGAATGTTTTCATGAACACCACCCCTTCGAAGCTTGCTTTAATGTTTAGATTTATATGTGAAGTACAGTTCGGGCATTAAAAAAAACATACTAATAAAAAATAAATTTATTTTGATCTAAACCATTACTTTTTAGCTCTTGCAGAGAATTCAGTGTCCCGATTGAAGTTCCTCCTCCACCCCGTCTCTTCTGCATCTTCATAAACATTTTCCAACTAAATTAATTGCTATTTTCCACCACTGGCTGCTTTCATGGTTCAGAGGTGTATTTTTTTTTTTAGAATTCTTAGTTCATGGTAATTTTTCAGCAGTTATAGCATTTGTCTTGTAGGTGAGGAAATTAAATCTAGTCTAATTTGCCAGAATTTATTTATTTATTAATTTATTAATTTATTTATTTCCTTCCTTCTTCCTTTAATTAAAATTTTAATTTAAACTGTCGAAGCCATATGTAATTTATCTGTTTCTTGAAAATAATGCACCTCTTTGTGTCAAAGAAAGACACTGATGTTTATGAGTGAAATTGGAAAATATATGAAAAATCTCAAAGGGTATTAAATCTCTTAAAAAGTACAACAGGAAATTAATAATTGTGTGCTAGTGTTTCACCATTCCGAGTGATGGTGAACCATGTATGTTCACCTGTAAAAGTAATTCAAACCTCTTGACGTACATTTAAAAGCGGATATGTGGCTCAAAGGAACACGTTTAATGTCCTGAATGTGCCAGCAAATACGTCTGCCCTGAAGCAACTGGATTTAAAATAATAATCAAAAGTTTGGACACGAATGAAAGAGGACCTGTTCAAACTTTTCACTGGTTCTGTATTCGTGTTCCTCGACACACTTGCTGTTGTTTCACTAATGAGTGTGTGTTGATGGACTTTTAAAACTTTTTTGATGCGTGAGTTGTTCGCCATTTGTGAGAAGTTTTTTTAAGCAGCTGACTTGAATGTCATCATCTCCCCTGTGATCTCTGCTCAGCAAAGGACTCGCCCACCATGTAACAATACTCCATTGTTTGTTAGAGGAACATGGACTGTGAAACAGAGTTCAGGGCCAGGACACTTTAATTTGTCACATGGGTTTGTATCAAAGTCAAGGTTTTATAGTTGGTCCTGTCGCCTCTCATACCCACTTTTATTCTGGAAGTAATATCCGTGTTTGATCGTGCCGAAAACTTTCTGTCACAGACAGCCTGGTACTCTGTTGGCATTGAAATGAAAAAAAGAAAAACTGAAAACAAAAGGCTTTTTATTCAGTCTGACCCGTTCCTGACCTAAAAGTCGCTCTTTCTGAGGATTGGGACAGAAATCATTAAGTCAGTTTGACCAACCAGTGAGTTAAGTTAAAAAGGAACCCCCTCCAGTATTTTATTAACTTTGGAGTCTGAACAAAAGATGTAAGCAAAGATTTATTTCCATTGACAAACCCTGTTCAGCATAAAGAAGTTATGTTGGTATTTACTAATGAGGTGCATTGGGAAAGCAGCGCCTGACATGCGAGGCATATTGGATTTTGCACCTGGCCCTGGTGTAGAGATTTTATTTTCTGACTACTTTATTAAGCACTGAAACGCTACATAATTCACTGCAAATAGAACCATGATTTACACATTTAAAATGAAAACCCCCAGTCAATGATTTATATCTGCTTTATGTTGAGGCATTTTATAAAAAGAGGAAGAAATGTTTAAAAAAAGCTGCATTTCAATGTGTTTGGAATGCAGGAATAAAAAATTTTTCACCTTGTAATTTCATAACTCAGTGAAATCATAAACTACTGCTTTGCTCTTTGTGCTTCATCCTTCATTTATTAACAAGCAAAGCTTTTGTAGCAAGGATGACATTTTCCAAATTTTTCCAGCATTTTACTTGAGTGAAGAGATGTATAACTTAAGCGGCACCAACATTTCTTAGGGTCCAGGTCATTAATATTCTTCAAATGCAGCATTTGAACTGTTCTTTTCCAGTTTAGATCCCACATTTCTTATATTCAAATTTGAAGGCAAGAAAAAGGGTCTTTCATCTACTTAAAATGTCTTTGTTTAGCCAGCAGTAACAGTAAAGCTGTTTAAATTATTTGGTTTCTTGATGAAGAGTTTATTCTTAACTGTCCTAACTGCAGTGAATAAATCTTTATCAATGGTGATACTGATACCATCCCAGAAGCCTAAAGTTGCCCTTTCTAATCAGTTCTAAGCTTTAAACATCAGAAGTACAGTAACAGTTGGAAAAATTAAACTGGTTACTTTAAAGCAGAGGTCACGGATTAGCAGACCGGGGTCCGGATCTCAACCCACCTGCTGGTTAATCCGGGCCCAACCTGATTTAAAACATTTATAATTACCGCATGTTGTCTGGCGACAGTGTCTAACTTCACTTGTATCTCTTCTCCTGTTAATATGGTAAATCCCTCTGGAGCGTCCGGGATCAGGCTACACGTGATACAATTTAGCCAATGAGCTGCTCAAAGATGACCCTGCACATTTAGAGTATGTTTGGCTCAACCTACTGCTGTGAAGCAGGATTCCCCACCATGAACATAATCACAAATAAATATTGATCCAGGCTCAAAAATGAGCACCTTGATATGTGGTTGAGAATTGCCTTGTTGCCAATCAAATCCAGTTCTAAAAACCTTGCAGGGCAACCTAAAGCCCAGTTTAGGTGTTTTATAAAACATGTGAATAAGGAAATTGCCTATATACCAAACTGAACAATTGTTGTTCTCTACTTCAAAAAACGCACTAGATTTTAAAATGGAAAAATTTTGCCTTTTTCTTTTATTTAAAAAGTCAATGTATAAAAAGGATGCATAAAAACCTCATTTTATTTCAGTGTTAAATTTAACAGATTATATTTAAAAATGTCTCAGGTCCTTTACTGGATGTTGATTTTCTTAATTCAGACCCCGCTGATTTTTAATTGGTTACCCCTGCTTTAAAGTAATCCAACCCACCAAAACGTTTCTGTTGCTGAGCTTTTCAAAGGAAATGCTAAAACACCAGAGTCACTGCTCACTGTGACTGATAAACAGCAATTACAGAGAAAAGAAGATTGACCATTCCAAGGATGTTCAAGCTAATATAATTGGCAGCTGCGCACATGGACGAGTAAAATGCCTTCCAGAGAAAACATTAATGGTAGGACAAGATAAATATTGAGCCATATGGTCACAGTAAAAAGGAAAATGTTTGGGGAACAACATGAGGCTTTCAAACTTAAGAAAACTGAAGCAACTGTCCAGCACGAGGGTGATAGGGTCATTCTGAGAATCTCAAGAAGGAGGAAAATATACCTTAACCTAAACACAAATCAACAAGTTTCTCAACCCTGGACACCATAAAATCCATTTCAAAATTTTTTATTCATGGTTGAAAATTGTTTTGTGCCAGTAAACTAACAAACCTAAATCAGCTCTACCATTTCTGCCAATTAGTCATTATATATCCAGCTACTGTTATGCAATATGTTAATAGCTACAAAAGGATGGTTGAATTTCAAACATACTAATAAAACATTGATGTGGGTGAACTAATTTAGCTTATTTAAGTACATTCAATAAACCCAGTATGATTTAAGTTCGACAGGGTTTCTTAAATATTTGAACAGAGCAGGTAATCAGCTTCATGCTCGTTTGCTCTGTTATAACAGGCAACAGGCGTTAAATGGCCAGCTGTTAAGGTCTGTTTCTCTGTGGTAATTTGATCTGTTTCTGGTGGGCTGCTTTTATTATTTCCGAACAAGGGGGCTGTTGATCTGCTCAGCTTTAGAATCTCCCCTGAAGTTTAATCATTCCTGCTGATTAATTTAACTTTGGCAGAGTTAAAAAGGTCAGATTTAAGGTATATAGTAGCACAGTCTTTAGTTTTTTAAAAGAAGAACTAAACATCTGTTGAAAAACTATTGTTAATGAAAACTTGGAGAGTTCTTTATGGTGGAGTATATATATATATAGTCTCTAAAAATCTCTTTTTATGTTGTTGCTCTTCAAAACACAGTTTTAGTCTCTCCACAGTGTCAATATAATCTACCAGTATTTTTTATAAAGTCCAACATTTAACAGTAGATTTTTATTTGATAATATGTTTTCATTTATTACCCTGCCGGCCCCTCTTCCTCCAGGTCTCCCAGGATTGATCTGCACTGGGAGCTGAGTGGGAAACTTGTCTGAACTCTGGCAGCTGCACTAATCCTAAATTTCCTCTTATCTCAGACAGCTCCTTCGTTCTCAGACAGGCAAGAGTTCGATGAGAGGACGAATAAATTAACAAAACCGTATAAAACTACAAGAAATGCCAAGTTGCTCTTATTTGAACAATGAGACAAAGAAGGATTAGTCTTGCCTTCTCGTCTTATAGGTTTGGGTTTGGCTCCCCTGTGGCTGAAATAACATAATCAGTTTCAGGCCGTCCAATGGACTGACCTCGTCGCTAGACTGGAAATAAAAAGGTTTTACAAATTAAGGAACCGGTGAAGAATATATGATTCAGTTAATATTTCTCGTCAGTAATCTGAATCACATTAGTCTAAATTTCTGGTGTTTTTGAGGCTGTGATAAATATCAGCATTACAATGTCCTCCTCTAGGCTGACCTGCTTTACTTAATTTAAACACTTGTATTTGTGTCTTTTCCTCCCCAGCATGTCTTCACCATGAACCCCTTGAATGTGGAGAGTGGACGAGGGAAGGTTCCACATGACCCCAGCTTCCCATTTGCAAGCACGTTTAGCGGTATGTCACAGCTCATTTTATCATATGTATTTCCCAGCTTAGCATCTAGGGGTAAAATAAATGCATTTTCAGCAGGTACCAAAGCACATAAAATCAGCAACACAGCTCTTTCATCCTCTTGTGTGGTTTTCTGTGCGTTTACGGTTATAACGAAACTGTTAGAAAATAGATACTTATAATTGTTGTTCATCTGTCCTGCCTTTGATTTGTCTCAGAGGTTGGTCATCATAATCTGTGGATGTAAAGATCCCTGGGTTTTTCTATTCGTTAAAACACCAAAGGGGTCAGTAACATATAAAGGTTCTGGATTATTATCCTTTACTGTGGATTATTGAGAGGAATCTGTTGAGTATTTTACCAGTTTATTTTACTAGAATAGAAGCACCCTAAAGAACTCATCATCAGTTATTGGAAAAGAATATAGACGTAGAAAGACTAGATCTGTTCTGGTATTTCAGCTGTACTTATTTAAGCTTTGTTTGACTTTTGATTGTAAAAGAGCAATTTTTAAAAGATTAAGCTTTGACTTAAGTAACAGAACCTAGTTGCAATAGAGAACATGGGCATGAAACATAAGTTTATATATATTTACATTTAACGTTGAGAAGAGTTTGACATGTGGAAGATTACAATATGGGCTTAGTTGCTGAAGGATCAAAAAGGGGCGCTGCATGGACAAAAAACAACAACATGTTAACAGTAAAAGGCCATGTTGCGACAGACTTTCAAAGATTGTCACACTGAAAAAAAAACAATGCAAACGCTTTTGACATTTACTTAATCATTATTAGTTACTTTAACACAAGTGTTTTATGTCCTACCCTGCTAACATGAAACAATTGTGTTAAAGTCACTAAATATGAATGACTAAAAGTGCCAAAAACGGATGCATTATTATTTTCAGTGCAGTGCAAAAGTTTAGAATTGCAAACAAGGTCTATTGGGCCTCTTTACACGAGCTACAGTAATTGTGAGTGTCACTAGTGTTTGATAGTGGTCACAAGAAAAGATAAAATTCTAAGCCATTAAATTGAAGGTAATAATAAAATTGTTTACTTAAAAAAAACTAAATGATAATTATGAATATTATTTACAGTACAATTCACAACTAGTTCTTAAAGTTGAAAGTAAGAAGGATCAAATCTAAAGTGTTAAACTTTAGTTATAAAACTTGGAAAGCACCTTTTAAACAGTTAATTCCTGAAACTCTTTCTAAGTTTTTTATCTACAGTATCGTGTTGCAACATTCCATATTAATCTCCTTGTGGCCGAGTAGAGCTGCCTTACTGATTTTAATTGCCTATTTCATTAGGGAATTTTTGAGCTCATAAAATTTCCTTTTCAAATCAAATGAAATGATTTATATTTTAAATATGCCACATCATTAAATGTCACTAGAGTTCTCTTGGTGTACCTCTTAGCTCTACAGAACTTCCTTCATTGTATGTTAACAAGACGAAACCCTGTTAAAAGCAGCTAAAGAAACTGTGTCTTTTAAAAGCACAAAAATACATCTTGGACCTGTCCTCACTAGAATAAACATTTTGGGGTGTTTCTCTTGAAATGTCATTAAGTATTTATTGCACCTTGTGAAGGAACGGTGATTTATGCCAGTGACAGATGATCCTAGGATCTCTTTAGGGTGGAGGCCTGTATGGTGTGTGAGTCTGTGCCATGTGTGCACATGCATACATCTGCACAGCTGGGTGATTCCAGCACCAAAAGTCATCCCACATCATTTGTGTTTGGCAGTAAAGTTTTCAAACCAGAGCCAAATATTTAGCAGTTTGAACCCCAGCTATCATATACAGTGGCCACAGGGGCACACGGCTGTTCAAGTTAACTGCAGAAACAGTGAGAGATTTAGGGAGAGCCAGAAACATTTGACAGTGTGGCTGTAAATGCAGCAAGAAGACTGTTATGTGAGTAAGTCATGTTTCCTTTACACAGTGGAAGACTAAAAAATTGAAGCAGATTTATTGTCCTCTTGGCAAAATTGTCCTAATTAAAATAAGTTTCTTCTTGATTTGTTTTTCTTTTTTTGTAGAAGATAATTTATTTTAAATATAACATCAATGATCAGTTTTGCAATAACTGAAATAGTTTACAGTGCTACTGAGGGTTACTGTTTATCTTTGTAAAAGACAAATCAGCACACCAGAAGGAAAAGAAATATATAAATCTCTTTTATATTATTAGATTAAATTTTAATTTCAGAGAGCATGTTCAGTAGGCAAAACCTTAAAAGGGTCAGAAAATGATTTTATAGGGTATTTGGTGCTGGTCCTTAAGGTCTCTGAATAGGGTGTGTAACATTGGTTGGGCTGAAAATGGCATATTTGCTGTTCTATGAGGCCTAATGCAAGCCTGGTTAAAAGCCCTAGAATGAAATGACAGGTTTTCTTCCTTTTATGGTATGCTCATGAATATTTAGATGAGCTGCGCACAGATTGGTTAGATATGCTAGCATTGCTGTTAATAGCTTAGCGACATAATCATACTTAAAGCTTGCGGTTGTGATGGCCTTTACAGTCGGAACAGCCGCTCGTTTCAGTAGAAGTTTAGCAAATCCTGCTTTTTTATGTCCAAGGTTTAAAAAGCTGTCTTCAGTAAAATGCTTAGAGCAAATGAACAGCTGAGCATCAAAGTTCAGAAGGGATCTTCTGATTGACAAAAATAATCCATGCCTGTCTTCAGATCCTTGGGAAGAATTTCCCCTTCCTCCATGCAGTCTGGAACACTGCATTTACACCTGTGGTTCTGGCTCATTTTCAATAGAGAAACTGCCTGCTTTGTAAATCTTGTAGAAGTACAGTAAAGCCAACTGTAGGCTAAACAGCTAAACTGGTGTCTTACATCTTCCTCTATTCATGTTCTTGGGCCAGTGAACTACTGGGCTGGTCTGTATGTCAATTTCGGGGAGTGACAAAAGTACAGGCCAGAACCAAATAAGGCAACATCCCTGACTTGATGTCAATTTGGTTCTTCGTTTGTTTTCACCCGTTTTATGGAGGAAGTTTAGAATTGTAAGATTTGCAGAGAAAGGAGGTGTCGATGGGGTTTGAACTTCTCTGTACGTCACTTTCACCCACTGAACTATCGTTATTCATCTATGACAATGTAAACTCGGTTTTGCACTCTATGATCCCTTTAAACTGTATTTTGCCTTTTTATCTAAGAAAATTTTTTCTACTATTGTTTTACTAGTTGCTTTTCCTGACTTTTATGTTTTGTTTGATGTTGTTTGGTTTTTATTTTCACTTTGCAACATTTTTGTTGCCCTATAGCTTGTGAAAGGGCTTCATAAGTAAATGTTTGTCTTGAAGGATGAATAATACTGATAATGAAACTATTAAACTATGTGGAAGTAATTTGCATCACTTACCAGCTGATATATTTCTTCATGTTTTCTTCAAAAACACATTATTAAACTCTCAAATTATGGTAAACACTAATTTTGTGGACCATCTTTTTTGCTTTCTGATGAGATGCCTTCACAGTGCAGAGTTTGGATAGGGCCTTTTTCTTAGTTGTTTTGCAAAGACAGGGTGTGTACTGCTACAAGTCTAGCTGGTGCCAAAGAAAGTCAATGTTTTTTTTTCCACAATATTGTGTAAAAGTAATCTTTGAGCCAGATTAAGTTTCAACAGAATCTGGGAAAGAAAATTAAATCAGCTGGGATTTGAACAAATACAGATCCAGTGAAAAACACAGTGATGACAATTCATTATCTAACTAGTGAGCTTTTTCCAGGCCAGTTTTGGCAGGTCGTTTGGGTGATGACAGGTAATTATTGTAATAAAAAGATCATAGATCAGAGGTAGGGTTGCACATAGACTTCCTTAAATAAGTACCCTCATATCTTAAATCATTAGCATTCAGGCTCAGCAATTAAACATTTTATAAAACCTGCAAAAAAAATGTCAAAAGCGAAAACAAGGTAGCTGTAGAAGCAGCCTAAAGTGGCTAAAGTTACTCAGCGTTCCAAACTTTTATATCAACTCATAAACTTTTATATCAGACTTAAAAAACAAATCCGCAAGGCCAGTCACATTGTTGGAGAGGAGCTGAAATCTCTGACAGAAGTGTCAGAGTGGAGAATGTTGGCAATGATAAAATCCATCCTGGTCGCCATCCATCCTCTTCATGATGTGCTGGTTACCCATAGAAGCGCCTTCAGTCAGAGACTCCTTTCATCACGCTGCACCACAGCCATCAAACTGACAGTCATTTCATTTTATTACTCATTATTTATTTATTTCATCACTTCATTATGCACATGTGCAATAATTGTAATTTGTTACTGAGCAGCATTGTAAATTGTAAATACTTTCAATTATATATACGGTGATCCTTATTTTATTTTATACTTATATCTTATTTGTACTTACAATCCTATTTTTCTCTCCTCTGAAAATGGTTGCGCTGCAAAAAAATAATTTTGCTGCAAGGGACTAATAAAGTAATTCTGATTCTGAGTGTGGAGACCAAAGTCTTGAGTTATGTATTTTTCTTTGTTTTGCTTTTGTCATTAAACTGATGTTTAATGTGTCAATTTATCAGTGAGACGGCAGAACTGTGGAGAAACCGACAGGGAGTTTCAGACCTATCTAACTGGCCCCCTGTTAAAGGGTTTTATAATTAGTCTATTGTGACTAAAGTTCCCAACTAATTTAGCCCAGTCTTCATGAGTGCTTTTGACTAAAAACCTAATTCAAAAACATTAAAATATTGATGAGATTCTTTTATCCTTTGTAATTTCCTCTAATGCTCTGACCAGATTAGTTGCTATGATCTCTCCCTGCAGGTTCATTTCAACACCTGTATGCTATCCTATATTAACGATTCATGCGGTGATGAATCCATGTCTAATATTCACCCCAATTACTTACTGTATCTGTGTTTTACTTTTGTGGGTTTGATTAAACTTAAGTGATATAGCTATCAAAACTTGATTTACTTTCAAAGATTTTCTTTTCACCTGATAAAGTTAGATTACACAATGTTGTGGTCAGATAAAAAATTGCACTAACTACTTAAATGAACAGCTGCGAGGTATTTATATTGAACTTTACCAAAACAAGTTACAGACAATTTGGAACAAACAGAGGAATGTTATATAATCTTGAACTTGAAAGACTCTGGAAGCCTTTCCAAAACATTACTCATCGGAAACAATCTTCTTAGGCGTCAGTCGTATAAACTTTTAGGCCTATCCTTTTATAGCAGGTAGTAGGTGCCTGAATAAATACTTTTGTGTAATATATAGAAAACAAACCAAGTTTAAATTCTGGTTTTAAAATTAAGATAATATTTTTTGCCACCTTAATCCTAAAGAACTTCATAATACATTAACCCATACATTTAACGGTAAGCTACATTGTAGCCATTTGAAGTGTCTTGCTGAAGGACACAACTGAGACCGATTGAAATGAACACACACCAGTTAAATGACAAACTCCTACTACAACTACTGCCCATTATATAACTGCTTCCTACCTGGTTGACTGCATCCGCCACCATGTTCCATCATGTCGATTTGTAATATCCACCATTTCTGTTTTGGTTTTTGTACTCTTTTGGACCTTTTGTCTGTTTAAATGTTTTTTCTTTCTCTCTCCACCTCTGCCTGCCTTCAGGTGGAGAGTTATACACAGGGCTGACAGCGGATTTTCTGGGAAGAGACTCTGTTATTTTCAGAAGCATGGGAGGTCGTACCACCATGAGAACAGAGACTGACCAGAAACTTCTTCATGGTAAAAAGTTTGACTTTACTTTGAAAGCTTGTCTTGACAAAACCGTCTTCTTCCTTTTACAGATAAATAAGACAAATATTTGTACCTTTATTGTCTTAAGCAAGCCTATGGCGCTAAGCTAGAAAGTAGTGATAAAAGTCAGTTATAAATACTAGAACATAAAAAGCCAAAATGACTTTTTCAAATGAGTTATCTTCTTTAAGTTGGGACTGTTTTCTTTTTTAGACCCTCGGTTCATCGCTGCCCACCTCATCCCAGATAATGATGATAGGGATGATGACAAAGTGTATTTCTTCTTTACTGAGTTGGCGTCAGAGCGGGGGGACAGGGAGGAGGCCATCCATACACGAGTTGGACGAGTCTGTGCGGTGAGATATCATAATCGCTTCTTATTTTGAGCCAGTAAATTATTTTATTTCCAGTTTCCTGTATTTGAAGAGTTTCTTGCAAAGAGCGTTACTATATGAAGACTTTTTCTCACAGCAGTTGTTCAAGTTTAACCTCAGAAGAATTAGCAAATGAAACCCTATACAGAGCTACAAGTAGAAAAATTATTAAATATAAGGACAGAGTCCCACAATTTACTTCACTGGTAACATTATAGGATTGGATAATGTGTTCAATGCTTAAGCCTTTTTATTATGACACTTGAAAACTTTGTGTTGAAAGGTCAATTTGTTTTTTAAAGTCTTTAGATTCTTCTAAAAGAATGTGAAGGCGTCTTTATATTCAGAATAAGATATGTTTTCTTCTTCCAAACTAAATGCAGCTGTCAAATTTCCAAACCAGACTCCAAGCCTGTTCCAACATTTTTTCACGCATTGATTTGTCTTATAAAACCATATGTGCCGTGAGAAGCCAACACAAGTCATGTTTTCATGCACATATGCACAAAACTGCAGGGCTGAAGGTTGATATATGGAGCAGAAATACTTTGGGGAAATACTCAGAAGAAAATATTCATAATATCCAAGCTGTCTGGTTCTTTCTTTGTAAACGTCATCTTTCTATATTTATTTTATTTTTTTACAGCACGTTATCATCCAGAATACATTCAAACTTTAAATTAAAGAAGAATTTCAGATTTATTTTTAGGCTACGACACAGTGTAACAAAGTCTGTGAAGTCAGTCTGGTATTTTTTAGCTCTGGATAAGGATGAAAAAAGAAGGTCAACTACAGTACAAATCTTATTTTCTAATTCATTCATTCCTTCCTTCCTTCCTTCCTTCCTTCCTTCCTTCCTTCCTTCCTTCCTTCCTTCCTTCCTTCCTTCCTT